TGGTGGATATAAAAATCAGTTTGAAGTAATAGTTCACTCAAAAATTACAATTCTGTCATCACTCATCCTCATGTTTTGCTAAATCAGTATGACTTTCTTGTGGAACAAGAAGATAATTTGAGAAATGTGTTTTTTGTCCATACACTCTCAGAAAAAAGGTACAAAAGTGGTACCTTTTCAAAAGCTACTAATATACCATTTCGATTTTAGGTACTAATATTAAGCTCTTGAGACCCGGCAAAACATTTTAGGAAAAAATGTAGTATTTTTTCATGTCATTACACTGTTTAGAGCATTAATAAAAATTGTAAAAAAAATTTAAATGAGATTTCATTCATAAGTTATGCTACGTCCTTGGTAGAGGACATCGGGACTCAAATGTATTATTTTTTAAATAAAAAGACATGAATGAACATGCATAGGCAAAAACAATAGATTTTTTTACATTTTAGAATAGATTTTTAGTTTTCAGGATTTTTTTTTTTTTACCAAACTTTGCATAAAGACTGTGGCATGTATAGTCTCAAGAGAAATTCACTAAAATATAATGTCCTCATATGAGGATGCAGGGTCTCAGGAGGTTAAGGTAGAATATGTACACTAAGGTATACGTATGCATCTTTTGGGGTAAAAAAGGCTGTAAAGATGTACATTTTGAAAAGGTACCGCTTCAGTGACAGCTTTTGTACCTTTTATTTTTATCCTGAGAGTGTTCAATAAAAGGCAGTCTTTACCAACATTGCTCAAATGATCTTCTTTTGTGTTTCACAGAAGTAAAGAGCAGAAATCTTCACGTTAATGTGCTGTTGATTTTTCTCTTGACTGTGGTTGTCCTGTCTCTCTCTAGACACATTCCAGAAGGATGTGTGCATCATTGACAGAGGCATGTGAAGAGCAGAGAGACGTGTGTGTGAACCGTGTTAAAATAGCAGACGAGTGTGAGCCTGATGAATTCAACAGGACCCTTTAACCTGCTGCTCATGTGTTTAATAAAACAGAAAACAGACACTTTCCTGAATGATCTCTGTCAATAAAGTGTGAATTCTCCTGAAAACTAAAGCCGCACTTGAGTTCCAGCATGAAATATTAGACTATTAAAATTCATTACTAAGACTGTGAACTTATGTGTTATATGTATAAATGGAAAGTTAGACCTAATTAGTGCATTGGTACATTTTTGTTCAGAATGTTAGTATATTTTAATTATTAATTAATTTATTAATAATGTACATATTTATTTACATGTGTTCACCATGTATTAAATATTTATAAAAATACAAATATTTAATAGGTATATATTTAAGAATATATTTTTAGTTATATTTAGTAAGTTTTATTTTTTTGTTATATTATATTTTGTCAGGGTTTCCCACAAGATTGTGTGCAGGGGGTTTGTGCGTTGATGAAAAGCCGATCATTAATTAAATGATTAAAACAGAAAATAAAAATAATAAACACACACACACACACACACACACACACACACACACACACACTTAAATATTTTATTTGTTTACTTGAATGTCATGTGACCATTACCCAACATCAGAGAACTGTGAACATGAAAATGTGTTGATATTAATGATATTAACTTAAAATCTCAGGGGTACTTCAAATAAACATTTTAGATCGACAAAGTTCCCTGACAAAAAAGTTTGGGAGTCCCTGAGTTACATAATAAAATGTAAAAGTTACATTTGATTAGATGAAAGTGCATAAAGATCTCCAGCAGAGGGCAGACTGACTCAAACATCATGTGGACTGATGTTTACGAAGAAGAATTTCTGCAGCTCAAATGGCTATGTAATGTAAACATTATAATAATATAATATGTCAAATGTTATATATATATATATA